TTTTTTTTTCTTTCAAACACAAAACACATAAATAGTTTCCCCCAATATTTGTTATTTGTTGTTATTTATGAGTCCTAACATAATATGATAATGCAGTTTAAAAGTACTCTTCCTTTATCGTTACCAGTCGTTGATTACTTGTTTACACCCTGCCTGAGTCTACTTGGATCAGCTGGTTATTGTGCTGTGTTCTTCCCGAAAACGTGTTGTCAATAGGGAGGTTGCAGAGTTCCCTCTGGTGGACAAACTAAGCAACACTTGTTACATGCTTAAAGGCGGTTTCTTCCATATGTTTTATACCACAAAAAATGTATCGGCCATTAAAAATCCCAGTCCCAATATAATGGCAAATAGCTAATATTGGTCCACTAATATTGGCTCCACTCACAGTATTTAACGTTTGCAGACCCTCATGGAGACCTGCTCCTCTCCCTTTAAGGCAACTTTCTTTTCATTGGCTACCCCTTGTAAACAGATGGTTGAATGGAAGGTGATCGGGGTGACCATATTAAGGATACCCCTTCTCAGTGACATCATACACTGAGCAGTCCGAGGCCTGAGATTTTGGCTCTCCTTTTAGGATTTAACCAGCTGATCTCTTGCTGATTAGGCCAATGTGCAGCTACCTGTGAGAACTAATTAACCAAAGCATGTTAATATCATGCATTAGTTCATTTCTGTTGCACTGACATTTAGTTGTTGTTTAAAAATTTTAGAAAAGGTAAAATAACATTAGTTTTTATGCTATTAATCTTTTATTTATACACTCATTATGCACCAAAGTTTTGATTAGGTGGAACTAAAATGGTCAGTGGTAGCGATCAGTATGGAGTCATTCGAATCCTTGTCTGGACTGAAGGAAGTTTTACCTTACAGTTTTGCAGCAGTTCAAGTCCTAAGGTGTTAAAGTTTACACCTGCTTGCTTCAAAAGCTGCTTTATACCTCAGCACTTCTCAGTTTCACCCTCCGCACCAAGTCACACACAGGTATCCACAACCTGATGCACACTCCAAACCGCCATCTAGCCACTCAGCATGAAGCAGTGAATGCAGCCCTCTTTCCCCACCGTGTTGACACTGGCTGGACTGGAATGAATTTTGCCTCAAAAAATGTAAACCACCCTCTCCCCACCCTAACATGTAAAAGACCTTCTTATTAACCAGATCCAGCATTTGAATGCACCTCAGTCATATGACTAGCTAGAAGGTGTGGGAGGCACACACTGTGGGCACTGTTGGAGACACAGACTAATCGTCTCTGTCGTATTTTCAACAGGTGTGAGGCCAACGTGACAATCGCCTCTCAGACAAACAAGCCCATCCCAGAATGCACCATTAAGAACCGCCCCAGTCTGATGGTGGAGAAAATTAACCTGTTTTCCATGTTTGGGACGGGTATCGCCATGAGCACCTGGGTCTGGACCAAAGCCACCATCCTCATCTGGAAACGCACCTGGTGCAAGTGAGCAAGTTAACACAAACTTCTGCAAACACGTCTCTGGTGTTATGGCTATAGCAGTGAAGAGATACTGTAGGTTAGGATGATTATTTGCCCTTTTTTAATGTTCTTTTAAAATTATTAATATGTACAGTGATAACGGTGTGTTAAATGCCTGCTCTTTGTCCAAAATAACTGAAAAGTTTGGATTGTATCCCCATCACTTCAAAGTATGAAGACACGCACATGCATTTAGTCCTGTTGTGTACCCCAAGTGCATGCATTTCAGTTTGCACTGTTGATTTTTTGGGGGGTTTGCATTTTCAGTCGAGGCCAAGGCTTTCTTACTCTGTATTTTTCCATGACAGAGCTTGATTGATGATTTTAGCATTTTATCTAAGGTCAAATGGCAGCTGTTGGATTGCAAAACATTAGGTCTCAATCTCTTGCTATCAGTGGATCAGGACTGAATTTTTGTTGTCAGAAAAATTAATGTAGCCATCCGTCATTCTACTTTGCCAGGATCATCGG